CCCCAAAACCCCAAAACCCCAAAACCCCAACTATTTATTACAAAATAGAATAAAATGAAAGTACACTTGGGGTCGCATTCAGATTCCTTATTCCTAGTAAATTTAGCCTGATCCTTCTAGACGCACATACAGTTGCCACCTGATCCTGAGAAGCCGCAGAAGGAGCAGCAGGTACGACCAGAACGGGAGGTTTGAAGCAGATTTGGCTCAAGAGAGTTTTTTATGAAAAATTTTGGAATTTTTAGATTTGAAGGAAAATTGGTTGAAATATAGGATTTTAACGTGATTTTTTAAGGGGAAGTTTAGTATTTTGGGGAGATAAATAGGTATTTGTAGGAAACAGATCATGTAATTAAGACCAAGGATAAGAAGGAGGTAAATTAGCTTTTGAATTATTTATTTTGAAACTTTAGAAGAAGAAATATGTTAGTAAGAAAAAAGAAATCGAAGCATATTATAACAAATTGGATCAGAAGGAGCCCAAAAAGAGACCACAAACCTCTAGAGCTTGTATGAATGAGCCAGAGATAACTGCTAGTGAGCTACTTGATGATAATTCTGTCCTGGTGTTCTGTAAGTTATGAAAATGTGCCTTCCAGCCATTTCAAATAAAAAAGATTGTCACTATGAAGATGCTATCTGTTTTGAGAAGTCATTATAACAAAAGAGGAATTTTTAAATTTGATCATTTTACTAAATTCAAAGACACTAAAAGGACATGTAAGGTGTGTGATTTATGATACCAAATCATTATTGCTGAGCATGATTTGATCCATACAACAGAACGTTTTGCAAAACTCCAAGGAATTCCAATAGAAGACCCGAATAATGAGAAATAAAGTGGTCAAAGACAAAAATTACATCACTTCTGATATCTTCAAGTGTAAGCTAAAACAGTGGAGACTAATGTTTTACTTTGATGTAATGAGAGATTTTCCTTTAAAAGATCTACTCAAGAAACAGAAGCTTAAAAATGGATTATATTTACAGATGCGCTTGGCTAACTATATAACAAAGTTTCCGCTTAACTACAAGGATCTCATAGAAACTTCGAAGCCCAAGAACTCACTTATGACACCAATGAGAAGGATGATGGCTAGTCATAGAAAAAGATTATCTTCTACCAAAAATGTGCTTAAGTCTAAATTTGTTGATGATGCCTTGAAGCACTACAAAGTAAATAAGAGTCGAGAGATAAAATTTAAAACCAGATCAGATTCTTTTGAGGCTGAAATAAGCAAGCCATGCCAAGAAATCCCTCGTAAGCATGTAAATCTGAATTGAAACAAGCTCAGGATTCATTATTTCTTCACAGAGGATTATACAATAGATTCTTTCATTAATAACACTGTTGTTGATCTCCGACTGACTGACGGTGAAAGCTGGAAGGAGGTCATTGCGGAAGGTAAGATCACCCTAGGATCTGTGGATAAGGTGGTGAACTCCACTATCCATAACATTGTTTATAAACAATCTCATAAGGGAGAAAACCTAGATGAAATAATTCGCATGGAAAACGTTAATGCTTATATGTTCTTTAAGAACAACCAGCTTGATCCTTACTATATGAAAGTGAAAGTGAGTTATAAGTTCGACCAGGAAATCCAAACAGAAAAGTTAGATTTGTGGAAGTACAATGGCATCTTCTTGCCTAAAAATTCGTACTTCAACAGTAATGCTTTGCCGATTGAATGGCTTGAGATGTTCGAAAGAAAAGAAACATTAGGTAAGAATTAAAATCTTTGTCGCTAGAAACTCTAAGATCAAGCTATATCTGATAACTTTTAGTTGAATTAGAAGAGAAAGAGACAGAAGCAATAATGAGCTCGTTCATAAAATAGACAGAAGGCTGGGTGTCCTATTGACCCTGTATCGTTTCTGAACAGGATTAATCTCAAGCCTAAAAGGCCAAAATCAAGCTACAATGGGTTTTCATTTAAAAAGCCATGCGGACCAGTACAGTCAGGAGTTCTTGGGAGTTTCACTTACTTAGATTCCAAGAAAGGTATAGTTTTGCATAATTAATTTCTACTAGAGTTCTAGTTTATAAGCTCTTATTATCTTTATAAATAGACCTAAAGCCAACTGATTCTGAAGCTACTAAAGATAAAAAGAGATGCAAGAAAGGGAAATCGCCAAAAATTTTGACTCTAAAATCCAGATTAAGAACTCTTTCAGAGATAGAGAAAAGTGTGGAAATTGCGAGTAATTTTTAATAAAAAATGTGTAGACGAGAAGAAGGGATCTCCACTCAAAAGTAAGAGATAGGTATTAGGAGTTGGATTTTCCATGATGTTAGTTCTTGCTGTAACATGCCCTGAGTTATAACAGCTTATGCTTGAAAATAAGCAACTTAGGACTAAGTTAGATGGAGAATAGCAAAGATTTATTGGCTGAGTTAGAATAATTTCTATGATGTTCTCTCTGTAAAAGAGTTAAGTAATTTAAAGCAAACTATCATTGCAACATTTCTAATATAAAGTAATGTTGAGATAAATCTTAGTTTCACATTCAGACCTTATGAAGGAGAAACTTCCAGAATTACTCCCACCAAAATACTATACCTTTTCAATATGTGTTAAAATTGCAATACAACAAGCTTGGATAATTATGTTCTTAGCTACAAGGACTAACAGATATCTAGATAAGAAAATTTTAAAGTCACCCAAGAAAAAGAGGAAAGCAAGGAATACATCTTCCCAAATGATGACTAAACAAAGAAAGTTTCCTCTAGTCCCTCTATTGGGTAGGAGCAAATCCCAGGTGTCTATTGAACCTTTAGAAGATGATCCTCAAGCTCTCACAGGTATGAAAACCCACTAAATCTTATATTCTTAATGGTTCTAGCTAAAAATGGTGAGAATGATGACTGTGATCATACTCTACCAACAAAAAGAAATCGCACAAAAACTAGAGAGAATCTCATCAAGCAAAGAATTAAAAGTTCGCCTGAACCTAACCATTTAGGTGCAAGAAGAGATCCTTTTGGAGATAACAAGGGGATTGACCTAAGGATTAAGGTAAAAAGTGCCAGAAATAATCAAAGCTCCAAGAGAAGACCCAAGACGGCACGAATGATTGCACACAGGCCTGGAAACAAAGTATGCAGTTCCTCTAATAATTTTAGTATACAAAGAAAATCAACCAGTTCACAGGAAAAGTTAATATAATGGCTGTTAAAGTTCCTTTTAAGTCATCAAAGCAGACTCGAAAAGCTATTGATATCGACGATTTCAATGTTGATGCTGAAATGGATGAGATCGAGAAGGTAATCCCTCTCAGTTAGGTCTATAGAATATCCAAAACCGAGAGCATTCTAGTATATTCGAATTTAGTTCACGACCATATGACCAGGAGATAACTCTGACAAAGAGAGGGAAGAGGTTCTCAGAGAGTAAGACCAGTTTTAACCTTCGTAGCTCAAACTACTGATAAATCAGCATCATACTTCTCAAAGAGAAGGAATCAGCCAAAGAAAGAAAAGCCTGTAAAAGACCTCTTTTTCTCTCATAAGTCAGTATTCAAAAAAGGGAAGTCATTGAAGGACCTGAAGAAGATGATTTAGATAAGTTGTGAAGTTAAAGAATGTTCCATTTTCAAAAAATTTGGAAAATTTGGGGTTTTGGGGTTTTGGGGTTTTGGGGTTTTGGGG